AAAAGACTTGACTGTAATTCATAATATATTTGCCAAATAACAAATAAATTTATATTATAAAAATAATCCGTATTATCTATACATATAAAATAAATAACAGTATAATATGCCTAAATGATAAACTACACCTTTATATATTATTAATATTCAAAATATTTGATAAAATGTTGACAATTTATTTATACTGAACGTAGGTCATTGGGTATTAATTTAATTCAATGGCAGTAATTTAGTAGAATTACACTTAAAGATATCACGTTACATTATGATATTTGAAATTTATAATCTTTAATACGGCCAATTAATAATTAACATTAACAAATTTAACTATTAATTAATACGAAGTAATTTGTATTATAACGATATTGTGAGCTAATTTTTTGCCTGCGTACAAATCTAAGCTTATTTGTTATCTTTATTACGCAACATGAAGAATTTTTATGACACCGAAGAAATAACAAATTTCCAAAGCTATCGAAGAAATAGGCGACAACTTCTTTTTGAAACAAAAAATTCAATATTAATTCATTATAAGTTTCTTTACAAGTGCATTGTAGTATTCTTATAGAGCATTTCATTATTTTACGATTATTTTTTTATCTGAGAAGAATTTATTCAATTATTTAATGTTGTTCACGTAGTCCGAAACTATGATATACATGAATGATAAACATTTATATTTTAATCCCATCCACTGCAAGGGTGAATAACGTAGTCCGTTGATAAACATTTATATTTTAATCCCATCCACTGCAAGGGTGAATTGAACAAAAATGACGGAAGTTACAATTGATAAAAATGAATTCAAATATTGAAAGTTTAAAATGATTGAATAGGCGTCACCAAGTTTTTTTTTTTTTTTTTTTTTTTTTTACTGCAATCCTAAGAACTTCGACCTTATTAGAGTATTGAATCGAGAGTCAATTGTTCTGATTTCTTTTTGTTTACGCAGTTTAAAACATAATATATAATTTTCGTTCCATTATTTTTAATCTATAATACAGTTTTGTTTTTTTATATCATCTTTTAAATGAAATAGATATCGTACATTTACCATTAGACACATTGTTTTTAGTTTACAAAAAATAAGTTAAAAATATTTGCCAATTTAATGTTATATGGATACAATAAACAAAGAAATATTTGTAAATAATAAAATGCTTTATTCTTCGATAAGTTTATGTTGTAGGTAGCGTTTATAAATATTGCAGCATAAATATAGAACTTGAGCAAAAACAAACTTATTAAGCATGTGAGAATGTTCTCATATATACAATATGTAAGTAGTTAATTCTGTAATTACATTCCTTTAAGTTAGAGGATATTACAGATACTCTGTTACAAAATTCTATATCTATAATAATTTATATACATTATAAATTACCGTCTATCATAGAAAAGCGTAGGGCAAGCAATATATATATGAGACACCATTATTGTTTGTTTATTGATCAACAAAAGTAACAGAAAATATATATAATACGATTGTATGTACATTATGTACATTCGACTACATTATGTACATACGATTATGTACATTCAATTATTAAAATTTTTGTTTGCTTTTTAGATGAATTTCAATTAAAAATTTCTAGCATCGTACTTTACTTTATCGTTAATGAAAATTTAGAATAATAATATTGAATATTATATTAATGATTTGTTAAATAATATTATTAAATATTTTTATATTTATCCTTTTAATAACTGGAAGCGAATTTATTTGATTTTTGGATTGCCGTGGATTTCGTAATTATTAAAGATTTAATTTTACAAATATTCAAATAGTAAATTATTTGAAATTATTAATAAAAGGATATATATATATATATATATATATTCAATCATTGTAAGTTTATACTTTTGTATATTAATAATATTACGTAATGTATACTATTTTAACTATTTATACACGTAGCGTATGGCTACGTTTATATATATATATATATATATATATATCATGTGTGTGTGTGTGTGTATGTGTGCGCGCGTGTGCGAACGAGACTCTTTACGTTAGAGATAAGAATAAAACTAGATATACGAAAACTGTATGAAGATTTATTACATGATTGTCGTTTTATGTAGCATATTATAGCGCCATTTTAGTTAGCATTACGATAATTTAGGGCTTAATTTTAGAAAAAATATACGTCTATTGTCAATGAAAGAACGAATGTGTTTCAGACCTTTTTTTTTATAAAAATTGCTGATGTTTTGTTTTCTATCTCGTCAACGCGTGGCCAATCGCTTTTTCCTTACGACTGTTTGTGATTGACAGTCATTTGTAATGAATATTTCCCTTTTGTTAATTACAACTGTGTAATTGTACAACAATACACAATCGACAATATTTATTGTATTTTAATTCAATTTTCGATGCCACGTTTATTTAAAAATATATCGCAAATATTATGTGTCTATAGCATTTATATTTTTTCTGTTTTCAGGACTAAAATATTTTCTTGATTTAATTAAGTTATCTATATCAATTACTAATCAT